GCTTTTTGCTCTCCTGCCTTGCTGGGCACACAGCAGTATCTGTAGTAACAAGGCAAAGTGAGAGGACACAGGAGGTGATCCAGCCAGGGAGGCATAGCCCAGTGGGGATATGACATTTAGCCCTGGGAATGCCCAATGACATTCAGTAGGCAACTGCCCAGATGAGCTTTAGGGCATCCTGACTCAAGGTGACTTTTTCTTTTGACACTAAGGTCACATACCTTAATGGTGAAGATCAGGATCCGGCCCCGGGCAACCATGTTGAGGAAAAGTACCATGGCTTCATCTTCATGGGGAGAATAGGTGTCAAAGACCCTCTTGGCCATCACATGACCCTGTTGGTATTCGAGCATCAGATGCATCTTAAATGCTATATGGCCAGGACATGCAGAATTATGGAAATCTGTCCTGGAAGCCTCAATCCCCAAGCAACACAATGAGTTATTCTTCTGGTATGCCAGGGAGTTAGTCCCCAGGCAAGCTCAGCCCTTGGGCCTTCACACACACACGACATGAAGTGCACTCACATCCATGGGACAGCATTACCCAACCTCACAACTCCTCTCCTGCCTGCTCCCCAAGAACAGGTAGGTGAGAACAAGAGAAATGCTGCAGGGACTCTCTCGGTGACCATGTCGTGCTCTAGAAACTACAGACAAACAAGCATTTGGGGACCTCCCTCCTAGCTGCCCTTTGCGTCATGCACCCAGCAGTTAAAGAGCAAGGACAAACACTGCCCAGTAAGAAAGACAAATGCAGACACACGGGGATGCTTTACCGTAGCCTGATTTAAGACGATGACGTGGATACCCCTTCCCTGCTCCCGAGCCTCATCTTCCAGGACCTGTAAGTGGAGAAGTGATGAGAACCATACGCCAAAACCTTATTCCCTGCCCATTCAGCACAGCAGAGCCCCCAAACAAGAGGCAAGTCTCTCTCCTGTGACATTCTGGCCTTGCTCGTGGCAGTGATGGATGCCAGAGTAGAAGACAACACAGAACAACACCTCCAGAGTCCTGTAGGCAGAAGGGGGGATCCGCTCCTGACCTTCTTGCCCATCACCAAAGTGCGCTCACCACCTGCTGCTCGAGGCTTCACCCATTCAGCTCCATCCATCCTCTGCTCACAGGGACAGCCAGCACCCATCACTTACCGTCGTCCCATCCACAGCCACGTAGACCTTCGACCGGCTGGAGTACACCTCGACATCCAAGACCTTCTTGTTGCTAACAGGATGCCTAGGGACCTCCACATTCAGCATCTCATCATCTACAGGGGAGAAATGCCCAGTCTCAAACAAGGCACCTCTGGCTTGTCCCTGCCCAGTGCTAGCCCAGCCAAGCCTCCAGAAGGTCCTGCCCACTGGGTATCCCAGCCCAACAAGCCACAGGTCAGAATCTACAGGGATGGCAGGTAAGGGATATCCCAAATGGCAACAGGTCAGGCCCCAGGTGTCCCCACACAGACCTCTGCAGCCAGGTGTGCTGAAGCCTTGAGTAGACAGACCAGGAACAGCCTTTTCTATTAATTTTTGTTAAACTCACATGCACAGAAATGTCTTTCATGCTATAGCACAAATTTGCCCTGACTTAAAGAAATTACTTCTCTCCCTCCAGTTTCATGGCTTTCAAAGAAAAGCAACATGCTGCCCCTCACCGTAGTCCTGTGCAGACTCCTCCTCCTCCTCATAAGCAGCTCTTCTGGTGTCCAAGATCAGCTTGATGTTCACAATTACAGTCACAAGTAGGAAGAGGACAGCACCTGTCTGCAATGCAGGATTCTTTGCATTAGCAACTTGTAAGTAACAACCCCAAGATCTGCCCACCTCCTTGGCAGAGGCTGCAGGGCACCCAAGGAGATCTTGCAAGGGATCATAAGCATCTGTCATTTCCCCTGTTCTCTTCTGGGGAAAGGCAAATAGAAAGAAACAGGTGACCGAGTTTTAGGGTAAAATGCTTTCATCAGCTGGAGAGCACTGACTCCTTGATACATGAGCAACCAAGAGAGAGGAGGGGAGAGGTTGGTGGAGGCTGCTCATAGCTTGGTTTCTTGGGTGATTTTGAGACTCTTCCCTTGCCCCTCAACCCCAAAACAGCTTGCTTCCCAAAAATCTGCCTTTTTCAGCTCTAGGACCCTTGATTCTTTAAGGTCTGGTATGGGGTTGAGATCAGACACAGGCCTGCCCTTGGTTAGAGGCACTAAAAGGATCCCTGCCCTACCTGGCCAGCTACTGCCTCAAGCTACGTGTCGCTGCTATCTCTGCCAAGCAGCCAAAGGGGTTCAAGAAGTAACAGAGGAAGCGGAGGATGGAAAACCAGCAATAAGCAACATGATGATATAAATGTCATTATGGCATTTTGGCTTGTTGATCTGCTGTTGACTCAGGAGTATGAGCACTTTTTGGGATCTGTGCACAAAGAGCTTTTAATTAGGCAAGAACAGAGCCTTGGGCTCACAGCGAGGAGGCAGGCCACCTTATCAACTTGCCCAGACCTTCCACCCTGGGCAGTACTGGAGACATGGGGGAGCAGCCCTGGTGACCAGGGCAAACAAAGCAGCACTAAGCAAGACCAGCAGCTGGGTCTAGCAAGGCTGGCTCCATCAGTGCTGCTGATAGAGGCTCAGCTGCTGTAGACCTGGCTACTCTGTATCTGCAGCTCCAGCTTACATATTTTAAGCCCAGTTTTCACCTGTGTTTTAAACCACAGCAGTGTCATGAAGGAGAGAGATAACAGCAGACAGGCTCTAGCCCATTTACCGCAGCGCAATAAGCAACACACACCTGAATGACCAGGTCTGTTCCCAAGCCCTGAGCACCCCTGGGGACGCAGGACCAACCAGCCTCCTTCCCCAGGGAGCCCTCACAAGCCTTTGTCCTCCCAGGCACAGGCAAAACCCTCCCCTGATCCCTCACACAGCAAACAATTGCCAGATTTCATGAGCTCTGCTCATCTCAGGAATGGCTCCTTTTCTGCAGCTTGCTGCCAAAGGCCCAAACCCTTCCTGACCTTACTCCCTCAGTCATCACCCAGGACACTGGCTCCGCTGAGGATTAGCTGTTTTACAGCACCAGTGACCAGGCCTGTGACTCTCCCAGACGCCAGCTGCCTCTGAGGCAGAAGATCCCGTTACCCAGCCCTATTTTTTCTGTCCACCTGTTGTGCCTTATACCAGGCTTGGTTTGCAAACCAAACAGGGTGAAGATGGTTTCCCACCACAGGCTGAGCCCTGCTGCACTGTGCATGGATCCAGAATCAGGAAGGGAGGAATTGGTCGGGTTTCTGGCTGAAAGCCTCCCAAGAACACCTGGATAATTGTATCTCCCACCACAGCCACCCAACAGGTCCATCTGCAGCTGAAAGTAGCTGCTAGATGTGGCAGAGTCTTCTCTGCATGAGCACAAAGCCATGGGAGGTAGCTTTTTGGGGGACAAGTTTGCTTCCCCTGCATGTTATGACACTCAGACTGCCAGCAGACCCACTTCCATCCATGCAGCTGCTCCGTAAACACGTAAATCCTGTAGATTATCCTTCCTAATCCACCGCAGGCCTGCTGGTGACTCACCTGGCACAGCTTCCGCAGTGCACGCTGGTTCATCAGCTTGTACTTCCAGGCAAGGTACCAGCTCCGCTTCTTGTGGGGCTTGATGGCGGGGTTGGGTTTCCACTCGTCCATAGTCATGGGGGCAGCCGTGTGGGGTGGGGGTCAGGACGTGTGCTGCTCCACTCGTGCTTCCATCGGGGCTCCCTGCCAGGATGGGACAGGCACAGGGTGAAGGAGGCGAGAGCCTTCCAACCCTCTCCCCAGCAACAAGCCTGGCACATGCAGCGGCCGTGAACGGCACCACAAGCAAAAGCCCCATGAAACCTCCCCACCCGCCAGCACCCTCAGTCCTGCACGGAGCAACCCGGGGGGGCCAGGCTTCACTGGAGGACTGTAAGCAGGGTGGTGGGAAGCCCTTTTAAACCCATGGGCCAGTGAGGACTTCTGCTCCAAACCCACCCCCTCAGCGAGGCCACTGCTGTGCAGTGGGCCTGCTCCCATGCTATGCAAAAGTGGCCAAGAGGCACAAACTGGCAATAAACCCAGGACCAGCTGGCATTATGGAGGTGGCATCATTGGCCATGTCTGCCTGCGGGGGGGTCCCTGGAGGGGAGAGGCACCACCCCCCCTAGCTGAGATGCAGCTGGCCTAGACACGGGGACCAGAGCTGGGCCATAGTCCTGCTGGAGACCCCAGCACCCCAGGGGCACTGGGGCTGCGCGCAGGCTCCCCACGCAACCTGCGGGGTCTGGGGTGGGATGTGGAGACCCGGTTGGGGCACAGGCCCCCCCCCCCCCCCAGCAGGGCCAGGCAGGGTGGGGAGCACCGGTTACGGGGTGGGGGAGCCCCCAGCAGCCACCCAGGGGAAGAGAGGAGGCCGGGGGGGGCCCAGAGCCCTGAGGGGAATGGCAAGGGGATGCCGGCGACGTCGGAGAGAGATCGACAGGTATCACGGAGGGACCCGGACACCCGCGGGGTGGGGGTGGGGGCAGAGCTACAGGGAGGGGCCGTGAAGGGGACCCAGGTGCTCCGGAGTTGGGGGAGGGGGGGGGGGGAAGGAGAGCCAAAAATCCAAGGAAGGAGGAGGCAAGCGGCGGGGCGCAGGCACTGGGGGACGGCGGGCAAGCCGCGGGGCCGGGAGGTGCGGCCCGGGGGGGGGGTGGGTCCCGGCCACGCTACTCACGGTCTGCGCGGGGAGACCGAGGCTGGGGGTGGGGATCGGGATCGGGCCCTTCTCGGCGCCGCCGCCGCCGCCGCCCCGCGACCCCTGAGCGCCACCGGGGCCGCGCCGCTTCCGGCGCCGCAGAGAGGCCGCGGGGGCGGAGCCACCACAAAGCCCCGCCCCCCTGCCCCGCCCCGCGCCGCTCTGCGCTCCCCGGCGGACCTCGCTGGTGCGCGGGCAGGTGGAGGCGGGGGGCGGGGCGAGGGGCGGGGCGAGAGGCGGGGCCGGGGCTCGGGCCGGGGTGACAGCGCGGCCGCCGCCGCCACCCCCCCCCCCCCCCCCCCACCCCAAAAAACCCGCATGGAGGGCGGCGGGGAGACGCTGCCCCCCGACCTGCGGGAGCTGGCCAGCAAGGTGGGACGGCGCCCTCCCGCCGGGCTGCTGCGGGGGCTGCGGGCCGACACCTCCCCCTCGCCGCCGGCACCGCCGGCACCGGCCCGAGGCGCCCGCCCGCCGCTCGCCGACCGCCTCCGGGCGCTCCGCCTCGAGCTGGTGAGTCCCGCGGTACGGGGGCACTGCCTGGCACCCCCTCGGTAACAGCTCCCCCCCGCGGGTAACTGCCTGACACCCCCCCGGTAACTGCCTGACATTCCCCCCCCCCCCCCGGTAGCGGCCCCCCCTAATAGTGCCCCGCTCTCTGCCTGCGTTTTGGGGACACCGCCGCTTTTTGCCCTTTCCTGTATGGGTTAACAGCCCCCGGCTCATGTCCCCCGGCTTTTCCCTGCCCTCCGGCCGACGCAGCATCCGCCCCCGGGGTCCCACGGACCCCCCCGCCCCCCTCCGTCCTACACCCCTCAACCCACGCACCCCCCAGGCGCTGGCTCCAGCGGGGCCCGGGGTGTCCCGGGGATCAAGATTTAAAGCAGGGACCTTCGTCAAGGGCATGGTGGCGGGTCCCCACCCACCCTTCCCCGGGGTGTCACCCCCTGGGTGACAAGGCATAAGCATCGCTGGGAGCTTTCCCGGGGTTCGATCCCTGCTGGGGCTTCTCCGGTAGCTAGTAAAGGGTTGGGCTGCGGCGGCAGCCTCTCCCGGGGACCGTGGGAGTGCCGGTGGCAGCTTTCTCGCCTCCCTCTTTTTTGTGGAGGGAGCAAATACCGGCGATGCCTGCGCCTCCGGGAAACGTGGCGAGATTGGGCAATGGGTTCAAGATCGACTGGGGGAAGGGACTCTCCCACGCACAAACACGCGAGCAGGAGGGAATGAGCATCGTTTCCATAGGGAAACAGGCTAAATATGCCAGCATCCCTGCCTGCCACCCCGGGGGGGCTGGGGACCCACCCAGCCTGAGCCCTCCACACCCGTGCTTTGGCCAAACTGGTATTCCCCATCGGTGTAAAAGCTTTCATCCTCCCTCCACCTTCCTCCTCCCTCTGCTTTCATCCTCCCTCTCCACCGGCTTCCAGGCTGCCCTCTGACCAGAGGAGAAAGGTCTGTGTGCCCTGGGTTGCTCGGAGGAGGAGGAGGAGGAGGAGGAAGCAGTGGCGGTGTTTGCCCTACCCAAGTGCAGGCAGGGTCAGCCCACGGTCTGCAAGGCCTGGCTTTGGCCGCACGTTATGAACCTCACCTCGGAAAGGCTTCTCCTTTCTCTGCCCTGGCTCTTCTCACCAGCTGGTGAAGAAGAGGTGGCACCTTGCACCCGGGTCAATAGCCTGGGAATGGCACCCGGGTGCCCAAAGCCCAGCACGGGGCTCCCCACATCTCCCCATCCCCATGAACAGGAGCTGAAATCTGCCTCCACTGCCAGCAGAGACCAGCAAACCCAGTGTTCAGAGGAGAAGGTGGCCTAGGAGTAGGTGGTGGGAGGAGAAGGCAAATTCCCACTCTCACCTGGCCTAAGGAGGGTGTTTTATCCCTGGGGCTAGACATCTCGAAGGGAGGTGGTGCCTGAGGGTTTCTCACACACTGGGGAGGGGAGCAGGACTGTATGTCCCTAGGGGGATGCTCTCCCCACTCTGCCTGTCCCTAGGGAGCACGGGGAGGAGCACAATGGTCCCTCCAAGCTCTGCCAGCTCATGGCTTCCCCTTTGAAAGGGGGGTGGACACATTTCTGGATGAGGAGGAGGACAGTGTTGTGGGATGCACATGGGGAAACTGAGGCACAGAGCAGTGCGGGGTGTCATGTCTTGGAGCAGGGACCCAGGCTGGTCTCCTCCACCCCCTGGCACCCACTCAGGACCACCGTTATCTTCCTCCCCTCTGGATGCTGCTGCTGCTCTGGTTCTGGATGCCGGTGGGCACCATGCAGGCATTGGGATAGGTACAGGGTCGGTGTGGTGCACCCATTACCACATCTGTAGGAATATACAGAGCAGCTGGACCTGAGTCTCCTCCCGTGCTAACCTCGACTTGCTGGAAAAGGACTTTTGGGGGTGCAGTGTGGTGGGGGGGGACAGGCTGGTCTGAAATAGCAGCAGATAAACATCTGATGCTTTCCAGCAAGAGATACGGAAAGTGGGGAGTGTTTTCCCACTCTCTGCTCTCAGGGAGGTTCCCCTGGCATCTCTGACAGCCACAGTTGCACGCGGCAGAGGAAAATAGGGAACACCCCCATCAGGGGTTCCCCAGCCTTCTTCCTCCAGCATATTCTCCCTGCCAAGGCCAGATGCTTTAGCAGTGCGTGCAGAAAAGTCCATTGTAGGCAGTTTTTGAAATAACTTGCCTAGAAAGGAAGTTTCTGCACTTCAAAGCTGGCTTCTGCCCCAATCTGGGCACATTGCTGCTATTTTTTATTTAAATCCAGTTTGGGGAGTGTGAGGAGGGGATGAGGGGTTGGTGTCAATTATCCACAAATCTTTACCCCTTTTTTTTGTGTCCTCTGGACTGAGAGCTGTCACATGCCAAAAACCCTGACTGGAGTTTTCCCAGGCTCCTTCCTCAAGATGCTTTTGTTGCTGTGCTTGCTGTGGGACCGGAGACAGTGGTCTCGAGAGACCAGCGGGTCACCCGTGGGCGGGCGGGTGACTCTGAGGGTACCGGATGCTGGGGACCAGGCGCTGTGCTTACAAATGATCCTGGGGGATCGCGTGGATCTCCATTGCAGCTTGCTGGTGCTGGTGCTGGGGTGTGTTTGTGAATGAGCCTGTGGGCATCCACAGCTCCCAGGCTGCCTGTACCTGTCCCACAATGGGTTTCTCTCCCTCTCCCCCTGCTGCGGCTTTATTCCCTTTCCTGGCAAAATATTTGCGTCCTGAGCAGGGGAAATCCAGTGGCTTTTGGCGGCCAGTATCACACAGACAGGAATGTCTTGGCATGCGTGGCTTTCCGTTAGGAAAACAGATGTTTCTGCAGCAACTGAAGTTTTGCAAAGAGCTTTCCCCAGGCTCAGAGGGGCAGGAGTCAGAAAGGCGAGTGGTGTGAGCAAGGCCTGTACCCCATACTGTCCTCCTCTGTTTTGGGAGTGATTTGGGTCTCAGGCTCCAAATCTTCCTGTGTCATGCTGTCACCAGGCTTGGATCAGACCCTAGAAGGGGGAAGTAAATTCATGAAGGGACCTGGCTGAAACAGCCCAGGGAGGTGCTGATAGTCCAGCCAGATCTGAGCAGTGTCCTGGCACATTCCTGCCTGGTCCCTCCTGCTCTGCCAGCTGCCTCCCAGGGCTTGGGGGATGCTCTGGGCTCAGGTCTGCACCCAGAGCCTCTAGTTCCTTGCTCACCCCAGTCCCCGTAGGAGACAGTGACATAAGTGCCCTGGATTTAATTCCCCAAGGGGGTTGGTGGGCAGTGGGTTCCGTAAGTCATTGGTCTCTGATGGTCATGTCCCCGGGTCTTGGACAGGGTCCCCTGGGATGGTTCCCTGCAGGGTGTTCCCCCATGGCATGCTGTTCATCAAGCAGCTCAGGAGACCTGCGGCCACCGTGGTGACACCTCTTCCAGGCTGGGCTGGGACTCGGGGCCGTCGGCCACCGGGGTCACCTTGGTCCCCTGAAAAACCCCACGTTCTCTGTCTCCCCACCAGGCCTATCTGCGAGCGGTCGACGTGAAGATCCTGCAGCAGCTGGTGGTGGTGAACGAAGGCATCGAGGCGGTGAAGTGGCTGCTGGAGGACAGGAGCACGCTGACCAGCCGCTGCAGCAGCCTGGCCAGCAGCCAGTACAGCCTGGTGGAGAGCCAGGCGGCCTCGCGGCGGGGCAGCTGGGACAGCCTGCAGGACCCCAACGACAAGCTGGACAGCATCTCCGTTGGTAGCTACCTGGACACGTTGGCCGATGACATGGATGAGTATTCCCAAAACGCCGCCGAAACTGCTGCCGCATCTGCATCGGGCAGAGCCCTGGTCAGGGCAGAGCAGGATTGGGTCAGGATCGACCCCGAGAGGGGTCTTGCAAAGCAAGAGAAGGGGAAAGCGGAGCAGGAGTGGCCTCACATGGACCTCTCGCCACCTGGGCTGCCTCAGGATCACCGGTTTGCTAAGGAGCCCCAGGTGGCCAACGGGTATTTGGGCCAGCAGCCCTCCTCTCTGGAACCAGGCAGAGACACCAAATTGCCGTCAGGGGCTGGGGAGAGGCTGGGGAAGGGGAACCCAGGTGGGAAGGCTCGGAAAGCCGACGCTGACTTTGAGAACTGCAAACTCAACAGCAAACTGCACCTGGAGTACGATGCCCACTGGCGCTGGCTCCAGTCTCAGGATGATGTGACGTTCTTGTAGTCTGTGGCTTCACCTTCCCAGTCCAGCTCTCCCAGCTGCCTGCTCTGCTTCACTTGTCTCTGCTTGGGAGAGTTGGGGTGGCTGGAGATGGGGGGGACAGGCTGGCTTGGTGGGTTGCACTGTTCCTCTGCTCCCCCATCAGTGTTTGGTGATACAGCCCTAAGGGATGGGGTGCCCGCCCTGCAGCAAATTTCTGGGAGAGGTGGGATGAGGTGGGTCCCCGTAAATTTAATCCTTTGCTCTGGGGTGACGCTTGCAGGTGGCTGGTCATTCCTCTGTTGTGTTGGTGGTGGGGAAATGTTAGTGGGGAAACTTGGGACAGTGGGACTTCTGGGACCTCTCCCCTCTAATCCTCAGCCTACTATGTGCAAAAACTGGGGACCCTTCCCCCAAACTAGCTACCCGGAGAAAACAGGAGATGCTCCCATGCATCCACAGCTTGGTGACACCAGCACGCTCAGTGCGAGGTGCGGGGCAGGACCATCAGCAGGGCACCCCTGTTGCATGTGCTCATTTCCATCATCATCTTCAAGGCCAGTGTCCATCCAGGGTAGAGGTGACCTAGGGCACCTGGTGTTTGGAGCAGCACATGGTAGATGCTAAACCCCCCTTCTCCTGCGGGTGAAGCCCTGCGTGCTTCAAATGCCTTTGTGAAGCCGATCTGAAGTGTGATCCTGTTGGGCTGGGGAGCCTTTGTCCATGACCTGTGGAGGAAGGATGATGGTGCAGACTTCCCTTCCCGATGTGATTACACGAGAAGGGCAAAGCACTGGGTGGGAGATAGAGATTCAGTTCTCCCAGTTTGTTTCTGGACTGTCTTCCACCTTGGAACCAGGTCCTGCAGAAGCCCTGGGATGTGGCAGAGTACAGGCAGCCTGGCAGAGCCTACGGGGCTCAGACTCAGAAAAGGTCATGCTTTTCTCAGAAAGGCTTGTGATTTCCCCTGATGCAGTGTGATGGGAGTGATGGCTGGAATTCTCCATCTGTGTGATGAATGGTGCCAGGCCTCTGCCCCCTACCAGCAACCAGAAACATGAGGCTCCTCTGCCAGGGTGGATTTCCAGCGACTCTGCCCTGGAGACATCTTCTCTGTCCTTTTAGCCTTGGCTTCTGCCTGTGCCTTTTACTGTCCACCCACCATGCCTCCCAGCACAGCCCTCACTGGCTTATAGAGCATGGCTTGCAGCTGTGTAAGAGCTTAGGCAGGGCCTGCTGCCTTCACCAGATGATGCAGGGAAGGATCTGAGCATCCTGAAGCCCCCTGCTTCAAGGAGAGGGGCTCTTCCATGTGTGTGGACAAGCCTGGAGGATCCTGGCTTCACAACCTGTGGGTGCGTCTGTCCCCAGCTGAGTGCTGTGACAGCTTTGCTCTCGCCATGGTGCCATCATTCCCCTACCTGTGTGTGTCACAGCCTGGCCCTTTCCTTGCTGGAATGGTGGGAGTGGGGACAACACCTCCTGATGCCAGTTGGAAGCCAAGAGAGGGAAGACCTGGCTGTGACTGTTTCTAGATGCGAGATGTGAGCTGGCCATGGTTGGGAAGGTGGTCGGGTGCACAACAGGTTCAGCTTTGCGTCTCTGAAGCAGCACCTTCAGTGGGAACTATCCTCTGTGCTGAGACCCCCGAGCACCCTCCCTTCTCCTGCAGATCTTCAGGGCTTCCCTGGATGGACATGGAGAGCAGGACAACGTTTAAAGTTCCTGGAGACGGCACCTGCTGAGGACCTGGGGGAATCCCAGCAAACTGGGACCAGGTTGCCCTGCACGAGCATCCCATCTGCCTGCCCCAGAGTAGCTGTGCTTGGCTTGCCATCCATCGCCTGTGAGCAGCTCATGGCTCCCTGTGTAGCTCTGCTGCTACCGCTGAGCTACCACGTCTCCCAAGGCTGGCTGACCCCCAATTTCCTTCTAGTCCTGCATGCAATAAATCAGCTGAGGGTCCCTGGGGGAGACAGGGTAAGTCCTCCAGCAATGTTAAAATAATTCTCAACAAAAAATAGCTGGCTTAATAAATGGTAGTGTTTCTCCCAGGCCATACTGTCGGTGCTTTGCGGAGCTTACGGGGGGTTTCTAGAGGAAGGGGAGAGCACTGGCAGCTCTGCAGGCAGGACAGATTTAGTCCCAGTCCTGAAACAGCCACAAACCATGTATCTGGGGATCTGTCCCTTCTCACATCAGAGTGGTGACACAAAGAAGTCATGCTTCCTGAAGCAGCCGGGTACCAGAGCACGTCTGCCGGGACTGAGGATGCTGGAGAGACTGGATATCTGGGAGATGGGGCATACTGAGCTCAGCTGAACTATGCCTCCAGCCACAAACAGCAGCTTCAACCTTCCTGCCCCAAATTTCCAAGGAAGATCTTTCTAGGTGTTTGCCAGCTCTGTCAGCTGTGCTGGGGGCTTTGTTTGCTTCCCTTGTTCTGTAGCTGCAGCTTTGGCTCCTGTGGCCTCCTCCACAAAGGATGTGTGAGGGGGATCTGGGTGTAGGACAGAGACTTCTCCAGCCCAGGCCAGGACAGGAGCAGCCACAGTTCTGATTTCAGGCTTTGGGATTTGCTCCTGGGTGGGTCCCTTTAAAATCACTGGAGTTGGTGCTCATACAAACATCAGCCTTTCCAAAGAAAACGCAAGTGGCTTATCCAGCCCTGCCATCCTGGCCTCAGCATCCGTTCCAGCTCCTGGCTTTGAAACCATAAGCTTTTGCAGATGGAGAGGTGGATGCTGGAGCCAGCAGGTCTCGGCAGGATTTCCCCAATTTCTGCTGGGCCAAGGTAAAAAATAAAATAAAATGAAGAAAACCTTAGAAACAAAATGCCCAGACCATTCCTCTTCCAAACCTAGACCCCACAGTCAGACAGCTTTATTGCCGCAGATGAGACTTTGCTGGGGCTCCCCTGGTCATGGACTCTTCAGCCTAGTTTACAGGAGCCCAAGTTCCCCATAGCTCCAAAATCTGGGTATCCCCTAAGCCCCAGCCCTTGGAGCTGGAGGGGTGGATGAGATCTCACAGTTTTCCTGCCATCCCCTACCCCGTCTCTGTGCTGCTTGGACGGGGTCACCCACCTTTGGGCTTTGCCCAGGCATGTGCAGAGCCAATGTGTCCCAAACCTGCCCTGGGGAAACACCCCGGGGGGCCTCCATCTTGTTGAAAGGTGGGTGCATCAATGGGGTGCTGAGCACCCATGGGTGGGAAACAGCCTGCAGCACAGATCTGCAGCCTCTCTCCTTGCTGCTGCCCAGGGAGGAGCAATCTGCCTGGCCCTGCTGGCTGCTGCCCTTGGGCTGTTCTTGGGTTGTTCAGTGCTGGTATCAGGTAAGAAAACAAGCAGATAAAGCAGGCAGGATCCCAGCTGGTGCCAGAAAACACCCACCTCTTACAATAAAAACACCATCGAGCCTTTTTTTTTAAAAAAAGATATACACAGAGATTAGACTGTCTTAACGAGGCAGTAAAACACTTTAATAGCTCCCCTTGCTAGTTATGAAAAAGTCCCCTGGGCTTTCCCCTCCCTCTGCAGCTCAGCTCCAAAACGGCCTGTCCCCTGAGCGCTGCAGCCATTTCAGCAATTTATGTTAGCTCCTGCAGAGAGGCAGTGTGAAAACAACCTTTTCCTGGGGAGGGAAGAAGCTAGTCCCCATGATCAGAGGCAAAGTGGCACCCGGCCCCTCTGCCAACCGCTATGGCCTTTGGTCTGACAGCCCCGTGGCCCCACACAACCCCACATTTGCTGGTGTGGGGTGTCCCAGGGAGTGGGTGCAGAGGATGTGTGAGCGCAAGTGCAGCCTGCGGGACCGGATCCTGGCACCCCCACCCTCCTCAGCGCTGGGGTGGGTGTTCCCTGGTGTCCCTTGTGCCGTTCCCTGTGCAACAGCTCAGGGATCAGATGCTGGGAGGCAAACTCTGTGTATTAGGGGCTGCCCTAAAACGGGGGCTGGGCACAAGCACCGGCTTTTCTCAGACCTCCTTGCTGTGGCCCTGCCTCTGGCACCCACTACTCAGAGATGAAAAGATAAGAAAAGGTCCAGATGAAACAAGTCTAACCCGAGGCTGATGGTTCTGCTTGTCAGTTCTCCCAAGCTGAACATGAGCTGCTTTGCAGGATGAAGTACCTGAAAATCAACCCCCTCCAGAGTAAGTTTTCAGCCAGAGTGGTGCGATGAAGTGACACAGTGACACCGGTGGCAGTGGGGGGGTGTCCCCCAGGCCACCGAAGCCCATGGGTTTACAGCGGGCCCATGCTGGATCTCTAAGCCTTGTCGGGGAGCAGCGCTTCGAGCAGAGCCCCAGGCTTGTGCTGCAGGCAGTGTGGGGCAGGAGAGGCCAACAAATGGGACAGGAAGGGCTGGTCATGCCCGGAGCCCTGCTCTCAGCCTGCCTTATTTTGGCAGTGGGGATGGTCTGCTAGGCAAGGCTGAAATGTTGGTGCAGTTGGAGCAAAGAGGTGATCCTCAGGGAGAGCCTCATGGTGGTAGAACCACCTCCAGTTTAGGATGACATTCAGTCCCAGTCCTGGGGGACCTGGCGCTCAGGCTGTCCTCCAGCCAGCACCTCTCACCCAGCCCACACCCCACACTCTGCCCAGGAACCCCCAGGATCCGGTTAAACCAGCCTAGTGGAGGGTTCCTGTGTCCTGAGTTTTTAGACAGTTTCCAGCTTTTCCTTCCCACTGCTCCAGGGTTACAGGTCTCCAAAGGCAGGAACCTCCTACACGTTTTCTGCAAAGACACAGCTGAGAACAGAGAGATGTCTCCCACTGCCTGTCTTCTAAAGGAAGGGCGTGCTTGCAGCATGTGCTCAACCTCTATTACACACTGGAGAAGCCACAGCAGGCAGAGGATGCTCCCACTGCCCAGGGCAGATCAGGCATCAGGCAGGAGTCTCATGGTAACCTCCCGCCTCCTCCCCACCTGTGGGACCACCCCCCCACACCCCAAGTCTGCTCTCGATGTCAGTGGCTGAGTGACCGGGAGGCTGGTGAACATGGGGACAAAGCTGGAGCACGAGCCAGGAGCGAGTGGAGCCTTTGGGAAACATCTCCCCGGGCTGGCAGTGGTCCAGGCCTTGGCTTTGGAGACTAATCCTTCTTCGGCTTTAGAGTTTCCTGGTGCTCCTTGCGAGTGAAAAACAAATGTGACTGCTCAAGGCCTCGTGGGTGTGTGGTCATGGGTGGGTGCTGAGGACAGGCTCAGGGTTTGGTTCCCTGCCTGCGCCCCCCTTCCAGCCCATCCAGGGTGCCAGGAGGGAGCGGTGGCACACCTCTCCCCTTCCTCCTCCCTGGGTGGTGGGAAGCCACCATGGCCCATCAGGGTCCCCGATGTGCCACCTTCTCCTTCCCATTTTTGTGACCCATCACTTGTCAAGTCCCCACCTGCCTCCCACGTAGGGCTGGGACCTGGGGATGCCCAGCTCAATGCCACCCCAGGGGTGACACCAAAAGCTGAGTGTGCCCAGGAGACCACCTCCTGCCCACCATTCCTTCTTCAGTCCGCGGTGGGAAGGGGAAGAAAAATCTGAATTGTTCTTCTGAGAAATTAATCTTCTTTCATCATCTTAATGCAGCCTGACCTAGAAGAACCCCCCTGGGTTTGTTTGTTTGGTTGGTTTTTTGTTTTTGTTTTGTTTGGTTTTTTGTGTGTGTTTTTTTTTTTGTTTGGTTTTGTTTTTGCTTGGTTTTTTTTTTTTTTTTTTTTCCCTGTGGGGTGTTTAAAGGGAAAATTACAGCAAATGCGTTGCAAAGAGACTGTGGTGGACAGGGGCCAGACTTGCAGCAGGGGAAAGCGACACAGGCAGGGTCTGAACGGTTTTAGGCAGGATTTCCCATGCTGCCCTCTCCTGCGAAACCCCCTGGTCCCAGGGGCTGGAGAAAGTTACATCTGCTGTGGGCAGTAAAACAGAAACTGTAAAAGGTTAAAGGATATGTTGTGTTGCCCCCGGCAGGGTGCAGTCTGGGGGACTTTGGGCTGGAAAGATGTAAAAGCTGAGCTGCTTAAGGGAGAAATGGTGCAGTAGCTGGGAGGGCAGCAGGGGCTGGGAGGGGAGAGCAGGGCCACTGGCTGCATGGTCACCTCTCAGGGGGGTGTCGGAGCATGTCTCCAGCGGGGACACCAGTGGGGAAGGACAGTGAGCAGGACCAGAGGGGGATGTTCCCAAATGGGAGTGAAGCAGATGCTCACCGTCCTCCATCAATGGTGTCACAAACTGTAAAAAACCAAAAGAGTCTGTTCATAAACAACTCGAGTGGGTTGCCCTTGGCAGGGGAGTGGGGCGAGCTCTGCTTGGGTCGGGTGCCAGGGCATTTCTCTCTCCCTCCTGTTGTTGCCCAGAGATAGAACTTGCCCAGCTGTGCTGAGGCAAGCCAAAGAAAATAAGAACCTTCTGGAACAACCTATTGTGTAGGTGTAAGAAAATAAAGACCACACCCCACCTGTGTTTTTGTCGACCCACCACCTATAGACCAAGCTCACTATTCTACAACAATGCGGGATCAAAGGGTGGTGATTCCCCTTTTCTTATCCTCTCCTTCTTTCTATTTCTACTCTCTCTCTCTTCTTTCTTTTTACTTATATGTAGGTATGTAAGATTTGTATGAATTGTGACAGGTTGTTAGGAAAATAATCTAATTGCCAAAGTGCCTTTATTCGTTAGCGGAAGGTTATCTGTTGATTGTTGCCAAATCGTCTCCATTCACTCACTAAAACTGTCAGTTAATAAAGGTAACAGCTAAATCGTTCCTCTGAGTCATTGTTGTGACTCAACCTGCCCTGTCCCCTGGTACACAGGCTCTCGGGGAATTCAAAAGGTTCACCCCCCTTGTGACCCAACGAGTGGGACGAGACAGATGGCTGTGGTCCTGGGGGTGGACTGGGACTGGGACTGGGAGGAGGGACAGCGCTGACCATCGAGACAAGGACAGGAGGTGGGATATGGCTCTCCCAGGCACCCTGTCCCACCCATCACACTTCCCACTGCCCCATTTCACATCCCTTCTCCCCAGTCCCCTCCATCCCCAGGGATGAAGCCTGGATGGCCCAGA